AAGTTTCAACCTAACTGGAGTCTCAGACATTTTTTAAGTGCCCAGCATGTATATGTGTGGGATAGCAAATATTTGATATTAAGTAACAAGAAATATCCTGGGACCTGGAGAACATTATGCTAAGTGAAATAAGCCAGTCAGCGAAAGGCAAGTACCATATAATCTCACTCACACATGGAATCTTATGAACAAACTGAACTAACAAGCAAAATGGAGACAGACTCATAGATAGAGGGCAAGCTGACAGCTCTGGGAAAGATGTAGTAAGGGGGTGGAGGGATCAAGCAAAAAAAGAAAAAGGACTCATGGACATGGACAATAGTGCAGTGATTGTGGAGAGTAGGGGGAGGCAAGTGGGTAGAGGTGCAAGAGGGCATAAGGCGGTTAAGTAGTAGTGGGAAAAGTGCAATTAAAAAAAAGAACATCCCAAACCAAAAAAAGAAAAAAAATACCATAAATAAATTTTGTCAGGCTGGAAATTTTGCCAACATAAAAATATTTATGATGCTGTTTATTGAAACCCACCATAAGGAAAATAAAAGATATAAATGCTTTGTTTCTTTGACATTTGTTACTAAAAAATAAAGATTGATGTACTTAATGTACAAAGTGTTCTTATAAATCAACAAGAGAAAAGGACACACACTAGGAATAAACAGAGGGCTAGGGCTGGGCTCCCACTGAGGGTCATGCAATCCTCAGTAAGCAATGTCTCAGGAATGTCCACACCTTAGAACCTCAGTGTAAGCTGGTTCCCCACTGCAAAATGCCTTGCCCTGCCTTCTGGAACTCGATGCATCCTTTGAGCTCAAAGGATGACTCCTCCTCTATGAAGCCTTCCAAGATGTCCCTGGGTCCACTGGTGCTCCTTGCCAAGTCCCCACAACATGTTTCTTGGGCCCCTGGAACCAGTGCCTGACTTCAGTGAGTACCTGGCATTGCATCAAAGATTATTCCAGGTAGGATAGCTTAAGCATCTTTGACAAAGGAGGGAATAAGGCACAGAGATGTGCACAGCCTTGTCCAAGGTCACCAGTCATAAGACACAGAGCTGAGTCTGCCACTGAGGTATCCTACCTCTGGTCCCTCTGTGCTCCAGCCACCTCCTCCCTAAGGAGCCCTCCAGGCCTGCTTGTCCCTATGGGGGTGGTGCGGGAAGCCCCACCTTGGAGGTCATATTTCTTTAACATGGGCTGGGCCCAATGTGAGGCCTGTCTAGGCAAAGGCTAGGCAGGACCATGTCCTGAGCCCCCAGCCTCTGTCCTGCAATGACCCAAAAGCTCTGCTGGGGGAACACAGGGACAGTTGCCTTCTCAGTTTCCCTTTTCTTTTTCTCCTCATTTTGCAAATTTGGCTTTGTTTGGGGACCAGAATATTCCCTGGGAGGGCCTCACAAGGCCTCTGAGGGTCGTAGGGTTCAACTGTCATGGGCAAAAGGCTGAGTTCTGAGATCAGGAGCCCAGGGAAATAGGATGGGTCCATCACTCCACCCAGGGTTCCCCTTACAGCCCAGCTCTGAGAGAGCTGCCAAGGCCTCCACCTGCTCACTGGAACCACACTCGATGTTTACTCACTCATCTCCTGCACCTCTATGTGCCTGTGGCTGTCATCTGAGTGGGGAAAGACAAACAGAAACCATGTTGAGGAGAAAAGAACACAGATTATGCTGGAGGCAGGGTAGGCACTGTCCTAGACAGGAAAGACCTCTCTGAGAGAATGTGGAAATAGCAATTCTGGAACATCAGGTATAAAGGCCCTAAGGCTGGAATGTTGCTCTGTGTGTTCAAGAAACTGGAGGGAGAGCAATGGGGCTGGAGCTAAGTGCCAGGGAGTGGGCAGAGTAGGTGAGAGGGAGCAGGAACAGCTCCCAGAGAGGGCCCAGGCCCTCTTCCTCATTTACCATGCCCCAGAAATGGCACTCAGAGGAAATGCTTCCCACCTCCCTGCTCTGCCTACATGCCAGACCCTCTGCACGATGCCCTCTCTTCCTCATTCTCCCTCCACCCCCTGTGCAACCTTCAATACCCACCCCCAAGCCCCAACCCCTTGTGCTTCTCTCAGTGCTAGGCCAGACCATTCTGGGCACCAATTACCTATCCTTCTGAGTATCCCAGCAGCCAGGAGGTCCCTGAGGCCAGGGCCTAGGTCTGATTGTCTGGAGCCTGGGACCAGTTCCCAGGAGGAGGCTAAGGAGGGCAATGGGAACCAAGTCTCAAAGCCCCTCAGGAGTCTAATTCAACCGTGCCCCTGAGGCCTGCACTGCTACATGGCAGGCAGGGCTCTAGTCCATTCCAAGACCAAATTGGTCTCCACTTGTCACAGGACCTTGCCCTGTCTGGACCTGTTTCCCTGTCTGTAAAATCAGAAGCTCCTCTGGGTCCTGGTCACATTTTTTGTTTCCTTTGTGATCCTATGTGGGTTCTCCCATGTGTTGTGGACATCAAAAGTATCCACAGCCAAACAGGTGGAGACTGTGGCCTCCCCTGTGAAATGGTGGAGTTGCCTGGGCTGTGTCTTCCTTATTCGTCCATTTATTCCACAGCCCATATTCACTGAGCACCAGTCATTTGAGGCCCCAGGTGAGGCACAGTGTGAACAGGGTAGAAAGCCCCTGCTGCCTTGGTGCTCAGAACAGATGGGAGAGGAGACAGACATTTCAGGAGAAATGAATAAATGGAAAAGATCCAGGCTGCAGGAGGTGCTAGATAACCCCCCAGGGGAGCTATGATCCTGTTGGTTGGGAGAGAGCCAGGGCTTGGAACAGGCAAGGAGGAGCTGAGGTCTAAGGCAAGAGGATCAGCAGGAAGCAAGGGGAAGATGAGGTCTGAGAGGGAAAGGGTGGGGTGGGCAGGTAGGGAGTCTTGCAGGTGACCCATCTACAATGTCCAAGGCCAAACCCAAAGTACCCTGGAAGTCTTCCCAGGGCCTGGGCCAGGAACATGAACCTGAGGAATTTTCCGGAACACAGCGAAAGGTATTGACAGCATCACCCTTCCATGCATTATTACCTTACCTTTCCTGAGTGAGGTGCAGGCTGCTCTTGGCACAGCCTCATGTACAATGAGGGTCAGAGTGGGAAGGCATTCACTGCTAGAGGGTGACTGCACTGACATTCTGACCCCACAGCTGTCTCACACCAACCTCACCAACCAGGCAAGCCTTTCCAACCCTAAGGAACTGAAACTGTACACCATCATGCATGAGGCATGCCAAACATTTGACACATGCTACTTTAGTTCATGCAATTGTGTCTTTCAATAGAGACAAGAGACTTGGCTCAGAGAGGGTGAGTACCTTGCCCAAGGCCACATGGCCAGTCCACAGCAGAACTGGCATGAGAATCTAAGACTTTGAGGGCCATGGGAACAGAGACCCTGCACTTGACCACATACACCTGGTCCTAATGTCCCTAGGTGAAACGAGTCTCTCTGGATGGCCTAGGACCACCTCCTAGTTGAATGGCTCTCACTGCCTGTCCCTCATGGCTAACTGATGCTGTGGGGACACAGGGGCTGCAGACAGCCTGGGGCTGGTAGGCTGAGGGCCTGGCATTTGGACCTTGTTTGGCCCCTGCTGTGCTATGTGACCTTGAGCCACTGACCCTCTCTGAACCTGTTCCCAGAAGAATGAGGTAAGATTAAGGGCATCTGTCCTAGAACAAAGGGTCTTGCCAGCAGGACTCTGCCCTAAGAGCAGGTGAGGCAGCTACTGAAAGTCCCAGGAAAAGTTTTCTCTTTCCTGAAGCTTTTATTTAGTGCCCAACAACCTTAGGAGAGACTGCCTGGGTCTCCATGTTCTCCAAGAGGGAGAAACAAAGTAGAGAATCCAGTGGCCCACAGCGACAGGCCAGCCAATGCCAGAGGGGTTGTACCCTCCTAAACAAAGCACCCTGGAGAGGTTATGTGCACCTGGTGGCAGGGGCACAGGGCCAGAGCTGAGAAGATGAATGAGGGTGCTTCCCCTTTCTACCTGCACACCAGCATCTACAGCAAAGGGGGGCGGGGATGTGGTAGGGTGAGGTAGGTATGGATTCGACCTATGCCTGGTCCTGGCCTCTACATGCTCTAACTTGCCCTGCCTCCATCTCTAAGGTGCACATTTGTACTATTAATCCTTGCCTCAATTTCCACACTGGTTAAATAGGCCTAATGTTAGAGCCTCCCTGGTACAACTGTTGGGAATTAATGAAGTTAGTGGATGCAAGGTACCCAGGTCATGGTCCAGTATGCAACAGGTGCTCATGTATGCACCATCCTTTCATGAACATATCACCTGGAATATAGTGCATGCTATTCTAGGATTATCAGGGATATGTGTGCACCTGTTCCCACTTTGCATTTTCCCAGAAACAGACCTCGAGTCAAAGACTTGGGAGCAGGTAGTTTAGGAAGTGACCCCAGGGAAAGAAAGAGAGGGAAGGATAGCAGTCAGTACCAGGTGTGTTGATGAACACCTCACCATGGCAGGCACCAGGGCTCCGGCCCACTGGTGCCTAAAACTTGCACCTTCATTATCCCCCCAGTGGCAAAGAAACCCCATGGTGCTGGGGTGAGAGGTGCTACCATGGCCTGGTGTTGTCCACTGAGGGTGGCAGGGCAAGGGAGATGACTGGCGGCCAGAGAAGGTGCTCATGCAGAGGTGAGGATGCAGGGAATGAAAATGCAAGGTATGAAGTGAGCAATCCAACAGCTTGAGTCTCACACGCAGCGGTGTGTGTCTGCAGGTGATGTAAATGTCAGCTGTGTACCTCTGCTCCTCTGTGGGAAAACTAAGTGCACATGTCCTCATGAGGACAAACCTGCACCAACACCAGCACTGGTGCTGGACACTCGGGGCCAGGCTTCTGTGTGTCTGCTTTTGCACACAGGCATGTGTGCGTTTGAGCTTCATGCACACCTGTGTACCAGGTATGGCAACACATGCACACAAGCCCAGGCTATGTGCATGTGCATGCACCATAGTCCCTTGCCCAACCCTGGCAAAGCAGATAGTCTGGTCACCTTGGCAGCACGGCAGGAACTGGCCACGTTGGGACAGCTTGTGTTCAAACCACCGAGCCCAAAGAGGCTGAGAAATAAAAAAAAAAAAAAAGGGCTGGAGGGATGGGATGGAGTCAGCTCTGCTCACAGCTGCCCCACCTGCACTGGGACCTGCCCCAGGACCTGCCCCATCCTGTCCCAGCTGAAGGCTGCTGGGAGCTGGGATGCAGGTCAGAGGCCCTCTATGAGGCTTGACTGGCCATGTGTCCCCAGTGTAGGAACCCTTCAGAGCACTGGGGAGCCCACCTCGGAGGACAGCAAGTAGGATGAGGTGCCCTCCCATACTTCCCACACCCCACCACCATGCCTCTGTAGGATCTGGAGAGCCTGCTCCCAGATTCACTGAGCCCCAGGGAAGGGCACTCCAGACACCAGGCACTTTGTATACCAGGGGACACCGGGCCACTCAGCACAGAGGTCACCTTCTCTGGACAATTAATGCACTACTTGTACAAGCTACCCCAAGGCTAGTCCATTAATCGAATGGTGATTTATTCACGAGCTCCTATCTCCTTCTCATCCCCACAGCCAGCTCATCAGCCTCACTACCTCTGGGTGGCAGGGCCCAACCCACTGACACTCCTTCCCTAATCCCACTAAAAAATGTCGCATGCTATTTATATTTCATCAGAGTGCATGAGGTCAAGAGCACTGTGATCGCTGTCCATGGGCAGCCAGAACTGAACCCCACAGGGGTGTCTGGGAAGCAGACTCGGCTTTCTAGGCAGATACCTGTGGTTTCTCCCACTCTTTGAGGGCAGCTCTTGCTTGAGAGCCTGTGGCAGGCCCTCTGCTCATTGTGTCCTGAGGAAGTCCTATAGGAATGAGTCTGCTATTATCCCCATTTGCCAGATGAGGAAAGTGAGGTTCTAAGAGGTGAAGTGACTTACCCGAGGCCAACAGTCTATACAAGGCAAAGGTGGGGACAAAAGTTAGGCAAAAGGCACCAGAGCCCGTGCCTTTACTGTGCAGCATTTGGCCTCCCTGAATCCCAGAGCAGCCCTCTGAGATATGCCCCATCATGATCCCTGTTTTACAGACAAGGAAACCAAAGCTCAGAGAAGTGAATTAACTTTCCCAGGGCTGCACAGCCAAGAATGAATGCTAGACAGATGACCTGGACTAATAATGTGTTCCAATCCTTGCCCTGGGTGATTCTGTTGACGTGCCCAGGGAGCAGCCCCCAAAAGGATGTGAATGACTCAGTGCAGTCAGTGAGCACTGCTGCCTGAAACCACAGCTATGTGGGGTCTCCTCACCTGACTTCTTCAGTGCTTCAATGTCCAAACCTACTTCTCAAATGCCAAATGGAGGCCCAGGTTGGCCGACTCTGGTAGTTCCAAGGACCCAGCTGTCAGCACAGAGACAAGTATGAAGGGATCAGGAATCACAACGCTGACCTCTCCTCATCAACTCACAGAGAAGGGGCCTCTCACCCAGCTTGACAGGTCCAGTCACGTCCACACTAGGCTGGGAATTCTGGGAACCCCTTGCCCAACCCCAGGGCATCCCATAATCCCTAGCCTCTCCTGAGACTTCTGGGAACAGAGCCAGCTAGAATCTCAAATCCCAAATCTGGAAGTTGGGTGCCAAAAGTCCCTCCAAGGGCAGTACTGGACATGCAAGGACTTGGTGGCCAGCACAGGGTCTGCAAGCAGTAATTGCCCAGCTAGTAGGTGCTGTGACTAGCATTCATGTCATTTGCACAGCCTGAGACAGCACACTTGCTTGAATACAGATTGCACAGGCTTTGCTGTGGCTGACTCTGAGTTCAAATACCAGTTCTGTGACACCCTGATTGTATATCTCAGGCACCCAGCTGAGCCTCCCTGAACCTCAATTTCCTAGCCTGGAGGATGTCACTCCTTTCCCACAGGGTTGTGGAGACAAAGCAAGTCCAGGTGTGAACAGCACTTATCTCCAGCCTCAACAAGCACTAAGAGCCAACCAGCCCCTCATACTTATTCCAACTCTAAGGCCAGGGCAGTTGACACTTCTGAGTGACCACCCATCCAGTGCCTTCCAGCTGGGGACCCAGAGTAACCACTGTGCCAGGCCTGACAGGGACTCAGGAACAGCAGGAATGTAGCTCAGCTTGGGGGGCGGGGGGGTCCCCAGCCAGCTACAGTGGCCCAGGGGCCTAGGGACCCAGAGAACAAGCTGTGCCTGGGCCACACAGCAGGACATAGCAGGGCAGGGTAGGCTCTGCCCATGAGCAGCTCTGCCCATTCACCCTGAGTCAGAACAGATTTGCTCTCTCCCCAGGCCAGTCCACAACCCCTGCCTGAACACCAACCATGTTCAAATAGCAGCTCTGCCACTCCTATGGCAAGATCTTAGGCAGGTCACTTCACCACTCAGGGCCTTAGTTTCCCTGCCTATAATATGGGGATATGAAGATGTGATTCTTGTGAGGAATACTAAGTTCATAAACTGCTTAGAACTGTGCCCAGCATAGAGAAACATCATTATCACTATTATTAGCATTCACATCATTAGCACTTCTGGGCAGCATGCTGTGTATTCATAGTCTGTATGTAGGCCTGCCAGCTCCAGAGGTCCTCATGCATTCCTACGCACCCCTTTTCTTTGGCTCCAGCAAGGCCTGAAAGGTGTTCTTAGAAAGAAAAGGAACTGACATTTTCTAATGGTTTACCTCTAGCAACACTGAACTCCCAGCCATTCCTACCTCCATTCCTTTGCTCAGGCTGTTCCCCCTACCCCACCCCACACCTGGGGGCCCAGCTCCAGGCTAGCCTCTGGCACATCCTCCAGTCCCCCAGGCTGGGTGTGGGAACTCATCCAACCCTCTGTGGCCTCTGAGTTTCTTGCTGTCACAGCTCTGACCACACTAGGCATCCCCTCTGATCCCAGCCTCCATATAAGCTTCTAGTCCTAACTCAATCTGGAGGCCTCCAGCACAGGGCCAGGCATGGAGCAAGGTCTCCAAGACTGTATTCAGAACAAGAACAACCTGTAATGAAATCCTGTGTTTACCGAGCAGGCACTGTACACCAGGCCTTGTCCACAAGGATTCTGCCTGGAGACTCTCATTTAAGCCTCACATGAATCCAAGAAATAGGTATTATAATTTGGCAGGCAAGGAAACTGAGACATAGAGAGGTGGCCTAAGAACACTGGACTCTTCACATGGAACAGAGCCAGGACTCCAACTCCCCTCTCTGCTACAGCTCATGGGGCAGGCAGGAGAGGCCAGCACTGGTGACCAGCAGTGTCCTGCAGTGGGAATGATCCCCTTGCCCCTCAGTGGCACCCACTAAGCCTAACCTCCGAGGAGCTCTGCTCTGCCAGTCAACAGCCCATATGCAAGTGTTAGAGCAGGACAGAGGAGAAGTAGGGCCGTGGGGCTGGCTTCAGACCTGTGGGACTGCATCATGCATCCAGGCCTCTTTGGCCTTACCTGTAAAGTGGAAGGACTAGCATGAGCAGGCACCTAGTGCAGAGTGTGTGGTCAGCAATCAGTCCTGGAAGAAAGAGACCCTACTGGGCCCACTGGACCCCCTCCACTCATGTCTGTCTCCCCTGGTGGTACGTCAGCCCATATAGGGGTCTGAGGCCCCCAGAAGGACATTAAAGGGCCTGGTGCCAGATCAATTGCCTGCAGACAACACTGGCTCCATAAGCAAGACAGCAAAGCACCTGAAGCGCTGGACAAAGGCATGGAGCTGCACAAGCTCTTGCATACCAGAAAGAAGAGCCTAGGGGCAGGGGTGAGCAGAGCCTGCTCTGAGGGCAGTCAACAACACTAGGCAGACTATGTGGGACTCTGATGCTGGGCTTCTGACAGCTGCCCATCAGCCAGAGCCTGACCCTGATTACCCTGAACCCTGAGAAAGAAAACACCTAGTTAAGAATGGATCCTGGTGACTAAATAGGCTCAAATTTTTAAAAACAGAGCCTAGTAGCCATTTCTATACAGGGCCTCTCAAGCAAACTGCACTTCTTGGAAAAGCCTACACTGACTGACTGCCTGCACTGTGTCACTGCCATCTGAGCAGCCTTTACAAAGGAGTTCCAGGAATCTTATTTCAACCAATAGGATGGAGGTTTTACCTATGCATAGGAGCTGTGCAGCTCTGACCAACGAGAGCAGATCTATTATGACCAATCAGGACAGTGCCCTTTGGACCAATCAAACTATGAGAATTTGGAGCCCTCATTTAGGACAGACCAATCAGGGACCAAGGGTGGAGACTTCCACCTACATAAGCCACTCCCTTCTGGCTCTGGGAATGTACTTTCCCTTTCCATCAAAGACCAAAGATGGCATTTCCCAGAGCAGAGCAGACCAAAGAACAGAACAACGAGCACTGCACAAAGCAGACTAGTGCAGAGGAGAGCAGAGCTGTCTACCTGGAGAGGGGCCTGGCCCCAAGGCTATGTCACAGCCATGCTATCATGCTGCATCACAACTGAGGTGTTTCACAGCCGTGATGTTTCCACAGCTCTGCTGTATTACAATAGAGCTGTTTTGCACTGAATAAAGTTTCCTTTTTCACTGTACCCCAAACTGGGGATTCCTGTTGGTATTGAATTGGTGCCAATGACCTCCAGTTAACAACACCTAGGCCAGGGCTCAGTAGAGCACCTGGGCCCCCCAAAATCCCTTAAACCTGAGCCTCAAGTCCTCATCTGTAAATGGAGATAACAGGAGAAAGGCACCTTCCAGGTTTACGTGTGAAAGTAACTGTCCTTTCCTGAGATCCAGGAACCTGCACTCTCCACCCAGCCAAATGTGTGTGTGAAGAGGCAGTGTTGAGGGCAGGAGGACAGGTGAGCTAGAGAACCTAGGAGTTGGGGAGATGCAGGCAGACAACAAAAGACTCAAAAGACACATGGACTAAAACTCCGGCCCTAGCTTAGAAGCAACCTGGTCCTCTCCACAGAGTGGTGGGTGGGGCAAGAGTGGCCAAAAGTTACTGAGGATCAGAACATGTGGCACTGGAGGCCCAAGCCATGTTACCCTTACTGCCCTCACTGCCCTCCCCCACCTGTGCCCTCAGGTCA